AACAAGCAATAGCAAGTTAGATGAGGGCTTCAACTCTTCAGAAAAATCTCATTATGTGAAGAGTGAAGTGGCTCTGTAGGGAGCATTATGGAAATATCTGGGTTTGATTTAATGAGGCTCTTCACATTGGTGGAATATCAACTTAACAGAGAAAAGTCTACCCGGGGCGTCCAAGTTACCAAAATGAAAATTGGCAATTGAGATGATAAGAAAGTGGCTTTCGTGTGCGAAATCACTTCAGGTAACAGAGATAACATTAAATAACATACATTCTATGCACCAAGAACAATGTTTTATGTACCAAGTCTCTTATCTGTCTCTTCTAATGACTTCCCTTAGCGGGTTGTTAGTACTTGACAGCAGGTCTCTGTGCGGGGAACTTTTTTCCAATTCCACATTCAAAGGAGGTCCATCAGAGAACATGATTGGCAATTTTCGTCATAATCTGCACATTATTAGCATCAAAATTGACATGGCAGTAACACTGGTGGTTTTTGATGTGCCTTTCTTCAAGTTCAAGGAAGTCCCTCCAGTAGCAGTGGTTTGGTATAGCAGGTCTCAGTTACCCAGTGGTGGCTTTTCAGAGGCAAAGGCGCGATAGAGATGCGTGAGAAATAAATCCAAGAGCCGTTTTACCGAGAGGAGAGAAAGACACTGAGAAAAAGAATTAAATTTAGGAAAGTGTCTGGAAGGCAAATGCTTCAGGACGACAGCCTACACCTAAGAGAGATTCAAGTATTTCCCAGATAGCGTGGATTATGGTAGTTAGAAAGCATGAGCTTAAAAAAATGCCTCTCCCCATCCTGTCAATCTCACACTTCCTTTCCCGTCACTGGCCCGGCCGCGGCAGCCTCATTAGTTACCGCTTCTCGTACAGAAATACGCCAGACATTGCCCGTTTAGTCGAACTCAAACCGAAATAATAATAATAATAATTAAAAAAAAAAAAAAAAAAAAAAAAAAAAAACCTTATTTAAGTAAGAGGTGGAATCCAAGGCAGTATGAGTTAAGGAACTGAGCAGTGACTTAATCATTCTGAAAATACCTATCAGTGTTCCCTGGTTTTAAGTGTAATGTTTATAAAAAACACATATGTATTTTCAGTCTTTCTTTTTAATGTTTGAA